GGGTATATCTTCATTTCGCGAAACACTCCAGAGCGACTTTCTGGATTTCAGCGGCAAATATTCAGGCGTTTTCGGTCTTTCAGATGGCTGCTGTTGCAGTGAAGCACCAAAGGACCGAGGAGATCGCCTTACATGTTTGATTGAAGTAGGGAGGAAGCGATTGCTTGTTCGTTGCTGATTGAGCGTCTTTTGGACAGAAAACCAGCTTCTTTGTAGCTAAGAAGATCATGTCACCGGAATCGGGGTGTGGGCTTTCTGCATGTCTACAAGGCAATCTGAAACGAATGGAAAAATTCCAACTATTTCTCAAAAACGTGACGTATGACGAATATGCCAAACGGTGCTTCGCCCTGACCTGAAGCCATACCGTTGTTCGTGAATCTTAGACTCAGCTATTCTGCGGCACATCCTTTCCAAAACCTTGGGGTAAATTTCCTCGGAGGCCCAATAAGGTAATGCCTCGATATTTGGAACACTCCATCCGATTTGCCTTTTGGACAGAGGTACTAATACGCATGTTCTTCCGCATACTGGTGTATTCCCCGTAGTCATTAACTTTTTTTAAGTCGGGGCGATTCCGGTAGCCTTGCTGTTTTTCAAGCTGTGTACAGTTTGTGTGATTTCATCTACTGAAGAACTGTTCTCCTCAGGCGATTCTTCCTGCACTTCCTCAGAATTAAGTTTCTTAAAGTACTTTCTCCATCGCCCAAGTATATCCTCTTTCTCAGTTTATCCGGACTTGTACCTTAAGATTTTTGGATCGTCCTTTTTCCAACTCGAAGACTGCGGATTGCCTATTGAAACCTCTATGACTTCTGAAGATTTGGCTGAAGCGTTTCAATGAATATTTCTATGTATCTCAAGATGGTAATGGACTGATAATTGGAATACTGATTATGGTCTCCCTTCTTAAACTGGAGGTGCTATAATCCCCATTCTTCAGTCTACTGATGCTTTCATTGCAGTCATTGCAGTTTGTCAGGCATGAATTTTCAGAACATACTTTGTTCCCATGAAGTTTCAAGTTTCTCCAGATGGATTTCATAAATTGCAGCAGTGTTCAAGATTTTTACAGCTTTCGCAACTTTATTTAACGCTGTGCACAAATTAAAATAGTAAAAGTAAAGCTAATTAATAGACAAATCTGTAAGCAATGGGATAGCCAATCTGGTCGCAAAAGTCATATAAGCTATTGAAGAAACGGAATAATAATGTACTTAGTACCCAGGTCTTCAAGATCATTCGGGATTCAGAAGCTGAAACTGATAACCGTACTGCCAGATGTGGTTTGAAAATTCGAACTACGGTTTTGCAATCTATGCAGTCTGTTTAAATAAGTGTCCTTAAGGTTCGACAACTTGACCACAATAGTGACAAGCAATGCGAATTCCCCAAATGAGAATCGGAAAGCAGTCAATAAGAAAACCCGATTCAGTTCAGTTTTAACGGGAAACTGAAAGATATTTATTGGTTCATTGAAATTTCTGATAGTTCTGTCGATAATATTTTTTTGAGGTCTTGAACAGTTTTTCCATTTGTCATAAGCAACGTGTTACTCTGACTTCTCTCCACCCACGGACTAAAGGCTGTGAATGAAACCACGGGTTTGCTGTTGTTGTTTTATCGTCATCAAACGCTAAGGGAGCTCAGACAGTAGAGTAACCCTGATCTATTGAGTCTGATGTTTAGAAATGGCAGCACAGGTTGACCACGGATCCGCATGATGCCAGTGATGCTACAGATTACCAGCTATGGCTACCATACGGTACTGTCTAATAGAACCGCAGGTACATTCCAATCTAGACCATGGTGTACCGTATTTTTCTTCCGTGTTGCCCCTTTATAAAGAAATTAAGACCGTTTCCATTGACTTGAACAGAAAATAATATTTAAATTCGGTCATATATGTTCCACTATCTTTCTTTTAAACATTTGATATGCTAAGGTAAGTTGCATTAGTCGGCTGTGGTATGACATAACGGCAGATGCGACCTTCGGTTCCTAGTGGACGATGTGAACGAAGGCGTTTGGACACGGCTGCTACGCTGGATTTCCAGGGGCACGAAAAATGTGGTTTTTTTCTATTCCCAGACATCATCCATCAGGTAGATACAGCTGCCTCTAGTGTCTTCTAGTAAGCCACAGAAATACATAATAGTAATTCAGGGGCAAAAACAGATTTTACTATGCCTTCTTTGTAGTTTAGTGGACTGTAGTCTTCAGTCCTTCCGTTCAGATCGGTAACTAGACCGTCATTCTTCCTCCTCCGAACATCTCTCATGAATGATTAATTGCTCGACCGACCAAAGTTATCTATTTTACGTTAGCCATTTGGCCTTTTGGTCACTGTGCGATGTCCCCAACTGAAGATGCAGAGGTGGATTTTGTAAAATTTAGTGGCAGTTCTCTATTGTGGCTCAGACTGAGAATTCGTCCTGAAAATTTAGAAATTATTTAAATGAAACTTTTTGGGAAGAAGGGAAAGCTGCTACCTCTTTGAAGAAAAATTTATGAAGAAATGGAACATTTTAATTTTATGCCTCCTACGCGTTGTGTGTCATTAAATATACATCTTATTTAAATGCAG